AAAACTAGTTTCCTTGTCCGGGGATTGGACCGCCAAGGCTCCCGCCTTGGTCTGCCACCCGATTCACATTGCACCGGACCCTTCATGTTCCTCCTGCGGGTGGTGGGTCCACAGTTGGACGAGCCCATGTATCCGGTTCGGGCTGGGCCCGGCCGGGCCCCATGGGCGAAAGCCCGGCCACCAGGCGCTCGCTCACGGGCCCCAACCCCAGGCCTGGCTCCAGGGTGGGACCCCGGTAACCCTCCGGGCCGGGTACTCCGACTCTTCGTTTTCACCGCCATGAAAGATCCTTCGAACCGTTCTTTGTCTCACCCTTCACCTAAGACCAATTTGTCATGGGAGACCCTACCAGGGGCACTAAGTGCCCCAGACAACATAGCTCCTAGGATCATTAGGGCACTCAAACTCCTCCACCACGATAAGGTGACGGTTCAACGCAGTCGTGGGGCAAAATCATTGTAACTGTCTCCTCACGCAATTGGACAGCGCTGCAACCAATCAGAGCAACGAACAGCAGGACAAACTCATTGCTACAAAAATTAGTTATCGGGGCAGTCTGCCATACACAGTCAAAGGGAAAAAGGAAGCAAAGACATCCTTTTTCAAAATTAACCACTTAAGTACCTCTATCTGCTCATGTCTCAAAGAAAAGCACGAGTCTTCATAGTCCAAAGATGATCCCAATGCTAATTGAAGCGAGTGCCTTTCCTGAGCCGATGCCAAATGTAAAGGTTGTTTTTTTCTGTTGCAGCTCTGGTGCTAAGCCCAAACATTGTGTCTCTACAAATGTAGAGTGCTGTGATTGGCTGGACCTAAAATTGTTCAGGCTGTAATGGAATGAAATGACTGTTTTCCACCTAAAAGTCATTTCCCCCCTCTCCTCAGCAAGAACTAATCTGCATGAGATATTGTTCAAGGTCTCATGCATCTGCTTCTAAACTGTTTTCTTTTCCAGCTCAAGAGAAGAATGAAGACAAAGGACTCTTTCTTTTAATGAATCAAAGAACTCTATTTTTAATAAGCTAATCAAACAAAGTGTTAGTCAATAATAAGATGTGAACCAAATTGTGAAATGAAAATATTAATTATTTTATTATAATCCTACAGAATATAATAAGTAATATAACTTTAAATGTTTCCACTAGGACTGATCACAAGTAAGGTTAAGCCACATGACACATTGCTTTACTGATCCAATCAGAATCTGCCAGATCTGACGGAGGCGTGGTTTTGGTGGTGCTTGGTAAACCTGTCACCTTTTCATTCGACCGTAAACCAAAACATCTGAAGTATAAAACTATGCCCACGTCATCTTCAACGCCAGTTCAAAGCGTTCTAGAGAAGTTGTCGGAGTGGCCAATCCGTAACTTTCCTCTTCAGTCGAAAGAACCAACGACAAGCTGAATAAAATCTGTTGCTGTTCCAACTGCTGCAACGGTTCCTTTCAGAATAAAAGCTGAACCATCACGACCCCGTTTTGGGTCTCGCTAGATGACAATAAACCTGTCGTGACCCGGGAGTATCTCAAAGACTGGTCTGGTCGGCAACCGCTGCTTTTCTACCGGCTTCGGTTCCAGAGAGGGTCAAGCTGGACCTTGACATTCCTGATCTAACGGGGACTTCCAAAAGGGTACGTAGACCGATGGAATGGCGTTGAATGTGTTTATGAATCTCCGAATCAAAGCTTAGCGCAAAGACATCATCTTCACTCCCATCAGAACTGATCGTTTCTCTGGATCTGCTGGTTCTGAACATTTCACACATACACCATTCTCAGTCTTACTTCACCTTAGTTACACCATACACCTAGTGTTGAAGTTAGTCTAGTTTTAATTTGTTTAGTAATAAATCTTTAAACTTTTGAAACTTGACTCTTACTTTTCTTGAAGTTAATATGAAGTGTTGCTCAATCCCTGCAATAAAAAGATCTAATCTTCTGATTAAATTTACTTAAAGATCCATTAAGGTGATATTTCACATTTTATGGTTTCTAATTAAATGTAGGAATTTCTTCGCTACAAGGCCAATGGTAGAAATGCTGAGGCTACGATTGAGTGTGGCTAGACCAGGCTCTCCAACTTTTGGAGACCACGAGCTACTTTTACACAGTGAAAGTACAGAAGAGCTATTGTCATATGATTTATTCACACTGATACTTTCCATTTGTGATGTTTACTATGTTACAAAAACCCTATGCTTACTATATTAACATGCATTGTATTTAAAAGTTGATTACCCTGTATATCAATATTATAAAAAAAACTGTGAAAGAGTGAAATTCCTGTTTTGAAACTCAAACTAAACAAAACATATTTTATGAACTAATCAGATACTTTCAGATAATGAAATACAAAACTACTTTGAGTGAAGGATTTGACTTTTTTTTTTAGAATGGATCAATAGCATTTTTTGAGCACACAGGAGCAGCTAACCTGTTCCTGTGCAGTCCCTGATCCCGTCCCTGCCTGCAGCCTACGCAGCAATGTCAGTTTTTCATAGTATTCAGCAACGTTGTCATAAATGAACAAACACTTCCCAAAAGCTGTCATGCCTTTTAAAGAACATCTAAAGTTTAGCATGTTTAGCATGTTTAGCTACTTCCTTGTTGCCGATGGTTCAGCTGTGATATAAAGTTCCGGAAAAATCTGAACTGATGAAAATATCTGAGCAGTTTTTGACAAAAACAACCTGAAGAGATAGGATCTGTAAAAGTGAGACAAAGGACAACGGTTTCCGATGGCTAAGAGGGAAAAGATGTTTGGGCCAAAACACAAACAGATCCAGACTGGATCAGAACAGCCACTAGTGTTACTAGCTGCTGGGCTACTGGTTAGTTATTCTCACTGAATGGAGGTTTCTGCTTTAAATGACTGACATTATGCAAGGTCCAGGTTTCACGTTTAGTTCAAATGTTTAAGACAAGAAAAGAGTTCAGACTGTAACAACAGCCTTCCCCGTCAAGTGTCAAGATGGGTGAGTCCATGAATGTTAAGTGATAGTGTGACGTAGATCTGTCAGGCTATTCCAATCTAGGGTTGTCACGGTAACTGGTGTAGTGGTAAACCCCGGTAAAAAAGTTGACAATAATAATAACCGCCTTGTTTTAAAAAAACGATATTATCTCGGTGGGTTACCGTGGCTGCGGTGTAGGCGCGGTGACCCTTACCAGCCACCGTATCATCTGCTGAAGATGCCGGCGGCACATGCGCACTTTGTTGTTTACAACCAAAACTGTCTTGAAGCTAAAGCTGAAATAATGGCCAAAGGAAGAGACGGCAGCGCTCAGGACATTTATTATCCCTCAAAGAAGAAAAAGTGGGAAGTACGGGCATCTTTTGGATATTTGAAGAATGCCGAGGGACAGTTGATAGAAGACGGCTATCCTGTTTGCAGCACGTGCAGAAAAAGTGTCTGTGAAAGGCAGCAACGCTTCAAATCTCATGACACATCTGCGTGACCATCACCCACAACTCTACAGTCAACGCAAGGCAAGCTAACGTTAGCGCTTTAGCTAAAATGCGTGATCCGAGGATTTGGGTTGAGGGAGAAAGCAACGAGTCGCTATATAAAGCAGCCGCAGCGCCGCTACCTGCATATAAACCGTGTCGCGGACACCGCCATGTTGAAATGACGCTATGCATTACGGGGCTCCCAGGGGCAGATAAGAGTTGGTCTCTCTCCGAGAATAATTATGAATTTAACAATGATTACTGCCTGATGACATTTTCCCACATCTGCAAAGCTCACTGGAAGGACACAAACCGAGGACAATATTTTCCTGATATAGGGTTTATTACTCAAGTAAGGGTAAAAAGTATCTGATTAGAAGGCTACTTGAGTACTGAGTATCATCTGGTCTAATATTTTTAAATGATGACATCAAACAGACAAAAAATAAGAAGTTATGGGCAAATATTGGTATTTTAAACACTAAAGGGGAAATATGTAAACAAATAAACAACATAATTATAAAATAACACATTTTAGGCCTAGTCCACACGTAGCTGTTTTTTTTTTAAACGAATATCCGCCCCTCCAGAAACTTGCATCCACACCACCTCATTTTAAAAACAAACTCTGTCCACACGTACCCGGATAAATACGTTGTTAAGGACATGCCAGACCTGTAGGCAGCAGTACTTCCCCCATTCTTAACCTCGTCCTTCGTCTGTGGTCTTCCGCAAGGAGCAGTAATTCCGTTTGCAAAAACAAACAAGCAAAAAGCGCTTGGACAATTGATAAAGTGAGCGCAGCTCTGAGGGCGTCCATGCTGTCGGCTAGTGTAAACACAGGTCGTACACGTGATGTCAGCATTTTTTTGTCGCGGAAAGTGACGTTGCGGACCTTAAAACTCCGGTTTTGTCCGTCCACACGCAGACACCCAAAACGGAGAAAACGCAGATCTTCACTTTGGCCGGAGTTTTTTAAAAGATCCGTTTTCGTGTGAAAAAACTCCGTTTTCGTGTGGATGACAGGCAAAACGTAGAAAAATATCTACGTTTTGGCAGATCCCCGGCTACGTGTGGACAGGGCCTTAGACACAATTTAGACACAAACTGAGGACAATATTTTCCTGATATACAGGGTTTATGTAGTGAAAATGTAACCCGTTTAAAAAAATACCGCGATAATACCGAAAACCGTGATAATGTTGGTCACAATAACCGTGAGGTTACATTTTCACACCGTGACAACCCTATTCCAATCCTAGAGTTTCACTGTCTATTTTCTATCAGAAGCTAGGTGTAGGAGACTATTTTAATGTTCAGCCTGCATGAAACACTCAGAATAACTGAATATAATCAGAAATAATTATTACAAAGTTTTTCTCAGTGAAGTTCAACTTTAATGGTACAGCGTCACATTTTTACTAGTGAGGACCAAAAATCATCAGGTGTGTGTGTATGTGTGTGTGTGTGTGTGTGTGTGTGTGTGTGTGTGTGTGTGTGTGTGTGTGTGTGTGTGTGTGTGTGTGTGTGTGTGTGTGTGTGTGTACATACCTTCTTTTATGGACGAGGCCTGCAGCATCTGCTTGTAATAAGAGTAGTAAAGTCCACATTCGGTCCTAAAGGAGATCTCGCGCTCCACCTCCTGGTGAAAGAAAGCACATTTGGATGTGAAATGATGTTCTTTTATCTGTTTGAAATGGAAAACAGATATTCTGGCAGGACACGATGGAGCCAAAGAGGAGAAGCAAAGCATCTGATCAGCTAGCGAACAGCAACAACGAGAGAGTCTTAAGGGATCCAGGAGACCACCTGCTGGTGGAGCATGATTACTTTTCCACTGAAGAATATTAAATCAAATGTCTGCCAAATATTGATTCTAGTGCTTGTTAAAACCCAAAGCATGTTAGACCTTCTGATATTTCTCCAGTAATTACTTTGGTTGTAATAGAAAGACCCTCATAAAGTTTGTAATGGACAGAGGATTGCTTCAGTCTAGTGAAAAAGCTGATAAAGTCGAGTAAACGACTGATGGAAAAGGCAAAGCTGTGCCTATTTGGACCTAAAGACACCACCAAGTCCCACCACAAGACTAATATTTGAATATAAAATGTTCCTTCTGTGACAAACATCGTGGTCTCCACAGAGCAGCAAAATCTGAGCAGGAACATCTGGAACGCAGCAAAAATAAAACCTGTACTTTCATCATTTATTGGAAACATTTAAAAGATAAATAAACCTAGGGAAACATTTTGACCACAAGTACAATTTGATACCAGCTAGCTTAAAAAGGTAAAAGCAAAGAATAAATCCAGAAACGCTTAGGGAACACAACATAAATCCTTTGTCTCAGAGACAGCAAGATGTCAGAACGGGCATGAAAAACCAAACCAAAACTTTTGTCACTGCAGTCGAATGTGATGGCACTGACTTTTGTGTGTGTGCATGTAGGTTTATATGGAGGCTGGACTGGGAAAATAGCTAAATAAATATGTGTCTATTTTACAGACTGGGAGCTACATTGTACACTGTGGGGCTGCACACCTGTGACGCCTGAGAGACCCGCCCATGGGCACTCAGGTTGAGGAAGCACATAAGCGAAGGCCCCCACAAAGACTGAAAGAAGATGCAAACAGCCTGTCTGGCCCTGAGACCTGTGACGGGTATGAGAGTATGCAGTAGGGCTGCAACAAACGATTATTTGGATAATCGATTAATCGGATGGGGTCTCGACACGATTAATCGATTAATCGGATTACATAGGGACATTTTTAAAATCTGCTAGGGAAACGTTATTTTTCTCCTTCCTTCACTTTATTAAACACAACATTATTAGAAAACAGTTCAATAGCAGAAAAACAACATGCCATCACCTAAATTGTCTTATAAGGTGTATAGACAGAGACCCTAAGCTACACCTATCTGTGACCTAAAATGCTTGGTCCAAGTTAAACAGCTTAAAGAGCAAGTCAACCCCTACCAGAGTCTAACTCCACTCCCGCTTCATGTTTGAAAAATGCAACACATGCTGTTGGCTGGCAGACCGAGAGGGCGGAGCCGCTAACAAATACACACACACTCAGGCTCACGACAGCATTGTGACATCATAATGTACCAGTTTACATCATAGCATACTTCTTAGCCAATAGCGGTGGCAGATTTAAATTAAAATACAGTGCAGAGTTTTTACCTGACAACGGCATAACACTGCCAGTTTTAGGCAGAATATTTAAATTTGAACTAAGATGCACTGAAGTGCCAAATTATTGACGACACGTGTCTGCAGCACGATTAGACTCTAGTTTATTTAGTTTATCAGCAAAAAAAAGTTTATTTGGGGGTGACTTGCTCTTTAAGGGCAATTCTCATCTGTTTTGTTTGATCTCATCTGTAGACATTTATTATAATTGGGGATGTCAAACAACTAATTTTTAAATGTAATTAAACATAGGCTTTGAATTAATCAAAATTAATCACTATTTCCAAAAATGACTGAAAAATACCAAATAAAACAAAAGTAAATGAATGCCATCCTCCTTGCGATGATGCCCTGGGCAACTGCCATAAAGTCACAACAAGAAATGCTGCTGATCATTCCAATGATCCCAAATAGACTCACATTAGGCCACATGAAAGCAACTGAACCCAAAAATATATTAACCAGTATATAACTGCACTCTCACACAACACGCCTGCAGCAACAGTTAGGACTCCTCCCTCCCTTTTAAAAGCTTTTTCACTTCTGAGGACATTGTGGTTGTAAAGCCACATGCTAGTAGTCTGGCCCCGGTGTGATCAACCAGTTTCTGCTGGAATGTGACGGCGGAACCGGTTCGCAGCAGCGCGAGTCCCCCCACCCCACCCCCCCCACCCCCATCTAATAGCGTTGCGCTTACAATTTTATAGACTTTTTTTTTTTAACGAGCTTAGGGCATGTCTAGCCTGTGTAATAATCCGGGGCTTGGGTGAATCACTTTTGAAAAGTTCTTAACTTACCCGGACACCGAGCTCTCTCCTTCCTCGCTGATGATTCTGACATGCTTGCGTTTAAGACGCTGCATCATCACCGTAGTACTCCCGTGCCATGCTAAGTCTGACCTACAAACGTTGCAGGTAATGAATGTCTTCGCCTGATTTAACTGAAAATGCTCCCAAACTTTAGAAGTTTTTACTTTTTTGGGGTCTCGCTGCTTCTGCCATGTTCCTCTTACAAACACCTGCCGACTCTCCACTGGTCTGCGCGCAACGGCGGGCGGGAGGAGAGGGGGCTTTTGGAAGAGTTGCGCAACACAACGAATCGATGACGCAATTCGTTGCCAACGCTTTTAGTAATCGATTTTCATCGAATTTATCGATTCGTTGTTGCAGCCCTAGTATGCAGGATTGCAGAGCCGTCGCCATCTTGTAGGCCTTTACTCAGAGTAACTAGGATTAGTGCAGCTCGGCCTGGTCACCTTTTCCAAAAACATGGTTCCGTATTTTCCTACAGTTTCCCAATTTTTAGTCCTTGCGCCATTGTGGTTCCAAGTGCACTGAGTCAAGCCAACATCAAGACTGTGGCGTCTGATTGGCTAGAGGATGGAGTCACTGGTTTGTTCCAGCTTTCAGTTTCACTGCCTGCAGCCATTTCCTGGTTTAGAGTCCGACAAAAAGCCAAAATACTGAGCAGAATGTCCAACATCTCCAACTTTCTTGCTGAGAGGCAACCAACAGCACCACCCTGTGGCTAACCTGCTTTATAAACATGAACAGATGGGGACCATGTGCTGAATGTTACGTTTTAACATGCTTTGATTATTGTTCAGAAACAGGATGATAACACATTTATTTGGTTAGTTATAGAACAGTCTGACACCCATCACTGGAAGAGACGATAAATTAAACATTTCCAGATGTTCCCGTCCTCCTCCTGCGTGCTATGAGGGGCACACCCACTTTTTGTCATGGAGCTGGCAGGGAAATACAACTACACTGAGATGAGCTGAGTCAACCCACGCTGTTCTAAGTTGCTTTAGGCTGAGCGGTGCTGACAGAAAACCAGAATCAGTTGTTCAAACTCTGTCGCATCACTCCACCCATCAAACCTATAAAGTGCTGTGACTGGCATTACACAAAACTGCTCAGGCCAATGGAAGGCCTGCCGAGGCTCCAATGGAGTGTTTTCTAGACCAAAACGCAGAGTAAAGTCATTTTGCTTCAGCTACTGTCAACATTTCTAGGACAGATTTCTGATACCAGATTTTGGTATGACTGCTTCAGTTGCTGTTGAACCATTAAAGTGTTAAAAATTGAAAACATCACTTTGAATGTGGAGCTTTTTCAAGGATTTCCACCACCTGCATGAGGCTAAAGTGAAATCTAAGGTTTAGCTCAGGGAACAAAATAGCACTATGAGGGGTCCATGTCCAGGAAACTTTAGTTCTACTGAGAAAAAAACAACTCAGCTCAGGTGGTAGAGCGGGTTGCCTCATGATCGGTAGGGTCATGGGTTTGAGTCCGGCTCCCGCCAGGGGTATTCTGCTGTTGTGTCCTTGGGCAAGACACTGCACCCAACTTGCCTGTGTTGGTGGTGGTCAGAGGGGACGACGGCACCAAATGGCAGCCTCGCCTCTGTCAGACCGCCCCAAGGCGGCTGTGGCTACATAGTAGCCAGGGGCGGATTTAGCAATTTGGGGGCCCAAGGCGAACACAGACATGGGGCCTCTTACACTACATTTTCGACAATCTTACCTTTAACTGGATTTGCGAAAATCTACCCTCTTCTGACACGATTTATTTTCACTTTTTATTAGTCCTCCTCTTTTTTCCTGTTTTTCTCTCCCTTTGAGTGCTTTCTTCTTCCTGTCAGTGCTCCTGCTTTTGCCTTTGTTATTTTATTTCTATTTTCCATTTTGGTCTATGTTTTCCTCCCTTTAAACATTTTCCATTGTCTTTCCTTTCTGCCTCCTTTTGATGTTTACATCGAGAAACAACGTCACTTTCAGGAGTGAAAATAAAAGCTTTTATGAAGCAAGCTGCTTCTTTCTCTTATTGGAGCCACTAGGATAACTCCATTTCATGCTTCATGTTTTACTATTGCTTTGAGTTTGTTACGAACACTCCCACCTCTCTTATTCTTCTTGTTTGTGGTCTCATGGCACTTGGCAAACAACAATTTGGTGCATTACCGCCACCAACTGGATTGGAGTGGAATGACTACCAATCATTTCTGTTTGTGCATCGCCGTCTTAATAACCCTCTTATGACCATAATTATAACAGGGCCGCCTGGTATGTTTTTAATCTTATGGCTATAAAATTGTAATAAAAAGTACAAAGTGTGTGTGTAACTCTCTCCTTTTTGAGAACAACCTCAGCTTTTAGTGTATGGTTTGTATTTAGAATTTATTTCTATTAAAGCCTTTAAAAAATCAGCTTCAAAGTGAAAAAGCAAAAAACGGATTTGAATTTTTTACATTTCTTACTGAACAGGAACTTCAAAATTACTGGGCAAACATTTTAAACTTTGAACTGAAATGCATCTATTCTTTAAAAAGTTTGAACCTTGGTATCTTTTTAGCTGTTTTTAAGACCATTTAGTATTGTTAACTTTCAGACGTTTTTATTTGATGTGGTAGACCTTGAAGCTGTCACGATCTGCCCCTGC